GTGTAAGATGGGTGGTGTGAGATAGGTGGTGTAAGATAGGTTGTGTGAGTTGAGTGGTGTAAGATGCGTGGTGTAAGATGAGTAGTGTAAGATAGGTGGTGTGAGTTGTGTGGCGGCGGCGGCGGCGGAGGCGGAGCGGCGGGTGCAGAGCGAAAAAACAAGAACCCCATAGTGATGTGGGGAAAAAGAACGTGTTTTCCGATTATTGAGATGTAATTAGCACATATTTTTATAAAAATGCTTGAGATATCTTGAGATGTTGACTAGGTGTCCAGTTCTCCAAATGAATCTGTGTGCGTCAATTGGAGCCACCAATGCAAAAGGTGGACCACATGATGCGATGTTGGTTCAACAAAGTCTTTTCTCAACTGACAAACCAAAGCTGTTCAAACGAAATGAGTCATAAGCCTCGAGGGATAGGAAAAGGCCTCAGCACTCAACATCCGTCAATGTGAGTTGTGCAAACAGGTTTACTCCGCGCAAACTCGCCATTGATCCCATGACAAACAAATCAACAGGTCTCTTTTGTCAGCACAAACAACGCAAGACCATCCTCGAACTTGTCAACAAACATGAGCTCGGGCATTTGCATGGTTTCGCTTACAAGTCCTTCATACAAGACAACTTGCTTCTATATCAGAATAGGCCAGAATAGGTTTATGATCCAATTGCACTGCTCAGAAATGGCAAAGTGTATGTGGGCAGTCTAGGCAGCTGTCCAAACCACCAATTTGTCGCAACTTGCACGTGCAATATCCTGGAAGCTTATGTTTTGCCCTTTTCTGATCCTAAAATCGATACCCGACGCAAGTCCAGGAATGTTGATTTCGGCGATGGTTGGGTTGGATGGAGACCTACATTTGGATAAGGAAAGTCATTTGAAGTGATGATCTACTATGAGTTGTGTTGAGTTTTGACAGCCTAGAAACGCTTTGAATATTGTTCAAATATCTTGCATGACAAAATACAAACGAAGATACGAATTCTATCAATTGCTCCTATACTTCGACTCTACCACGACACAAACGACTGCTGTATCCCGGCGACTCAACCCCCCATGTCATAGGAGTCTGTACACAAGTAAGATAATGATAAAGTGGTTCGAGAACACTTCCCCATAAACAATGACACCGAAGACCAGACTAAGACCAAGGTTGTAATGTGAATCTGTCCTTAGATGTATGAAATTGAGGCTTGTTTCGAGAGCACTACAGCTTGAAGTTTCAGCTTGTGAGTCTCTATACGCGAAAAAGTTTCTTTTGGCGTTTGCATGCAACGTATTTCGGTTGGACTGAGTAGCCATTTGTAATGTGCTGGCTTTCGTACTAGAATTCTCAGGGTCTGACGTGGCTTCTTTGGACAATGCTCATGTTTATATAATATAATTAGGTGGTGTGGACGCGTGCACACACTCACAACTCCAGTGACATCTCTGGGGCATGCCGTCGCTTTGTTGGTTGACTGATCAAAGCCATGGCATATCATGGCATGCTGAACTTTTTCAACATCACAGAAGATTTGTTTGACCGATCTGTTAAAATATGTCACAATATGGCTATTTTCTCTCCCATTCTAGGTCTCCAAGCAGACCATCCAGCATCTGTCAGCATTGCAAGGCCTTGCACAAGGACACTCAAAAAACATACAAGGCTTTGCCTATTTACCTGGCTTTACTTCCTCCCCAGGGAGTGTCATCAGCAAGATGCCCCAAAAGCTTTGAAGCGGGTCACCCCGATTAGTGGCCAGTGGCTAGGATATGCTATTCCGCTCGAAGGGACTTTGAGGGGTAGCGGCCCTTGTACATGACAAGAGTTGTTGCATCAGTGAAAGTACTTCCACAGCAATTCAATCAGCGGCTTATATAAACGTTTGTTGCATTCCTCTGCTGATTGACTTGTCGTTTGTCCTCAGCAGAGAAACTGTGAAAAAAGCCGGATAGAGCCTTACCCCGCCACCCTGTGACTTGGCTGCACGCATGCGGAATAAGTACGGCCAGTCCTCAGCACGGTTGATGTTTTGAGTCTTGTTTAAGACATTGAACAAGAACGCTACTAGGGGCTCCTGGCCTTACTACTAGGAGCAAGAACGCTACTAGGGGCTCCTGGCCGTACTACTAGTAACAAAAAGCTACTAGGAGCAAAGGGCATCGCTACTAGGAGCAACACTTGCGCTTTCAAACATCCACCCCTGAGATACACCCTCTGCAAGTTCATGAAATTTGGATATCAAGCCGGTTGAGGTGCTTGCTTCACACCTTCTGCAAGGAGCAAGGACATTGGCTCTCTCCCAGTTGCCATCACAGCCCCTACCTCCAAAAAGTTCTGAAGGCTTGGCCGGCTAAATCATCTCTGATAGGAACAAGAAGCTACTAGGGGCTCCTGGCCTTACTACTAGGAGCAAGACGCTACTAGGGGCTCCTGGCATCGCTACTAGGAACATTCTTACTTAGCCAAGTGAGTGTCGAGCAACCGCACTTGCAAAAGCAGCCCTGAGGCCCAAAGAAACTTCACAAGGGATGAAAGACCAAACCCCTCAAAGGCCAATCTCTCCATACGCCTCAACATCGTGAATGACTGCGCAAACCTGCAAATTCAGAAGTTGCAAGTTGCAGGTCCACCTGTTGCGGAATTTCAATTGTGAATATTCGACATATATAGGTATTCAGCGCCCTCTTTTGGCCACTGGCACACTTTCAGCTGGAAAGCATGATTCGCCCACCGGGTCACATGCAACGCTGTCTCACCGGAGGTCATCCGAGGCCGCTTGGTTTCCTCAGCTGTCAGGCCAGTCATAAGCTGAGGTCGTCTCCTCACATGTTGTCACATGACGTCCCCAGTGGTTGCAGTCAGTCTCTGCTTTCTGCAGAAAAACTCCGAACGCACTCTGTGTGCACAAGGGGGGTTGTCTTGGTTTGTGGCAATGTGTTTGCTATTCTTCGTTCATCAAACAACTTCCGGAGTCCTATGTACACAGTATACACATGTATATATATATATGTAAATGTGCAGCAATATATGCGCAATTGGCCGGAGGTATATTGAGAGGATGCTGTACCTACATTCAGCTTCGAAAACACGTCAGCCATCTTTAATCATGTGTGGCGCTGAAGGGTTGTTGTGGATGGTTCAACCTTCCCAAGTTCAAATCGATTCAAAGCATATGCCAGCGCTCCACAATTTCATAGAAAGGAAAGGAGTGCTATTCAAACACAGCCGGAGCTTGAGGGGCGGAGCATGCACGTGGTTCATGTTACTGAAGTGAATTTGAGACAGCGCGGGCAACCCGGCCTGCTATTTCGCGACCAGCCGGCCGGCCGGCCGGCCAAGTAGTAGTAGTAGTAGTAGTGGTAGTAGTGGTAGTAGTAGTAGTAGTAGCAGGAGTAGTAGTAGTAGTAGTGGTGGTAGTAGTAGTAGTAGTAGACGAGTTGTAGTAGTAGTAGCAGCAGTAGTAGTAGTAGTCGTAGCCGTAGCCGTAGCAGGAGTAGTAGTAGTAGTAGTGATTTCTTCCTCGGCCGGCCGGCCGGCCGGCTGATCGAGAAATAGCGGGCCGCGATAAGCTCGCAATGAACATGAAGTGAACAAATATGACATCAGGTTCGACCTTACACTTGGTTTCAAAGTTGGCCTTGGCTTCCCTTTAGGGTGCTGCTAGTTTGCATTCAGAGCTGGGCGGCATTGGGTCGGCATTGTTTCGGTAGTGATTTTTTTTGCTTGTCTGGAGGGTCTGGTCATCTAGTGTGTACCCGCGGTCAAAAAAGGCAACGACTGACGGCCAACCACAGACGAATGTCGTGATCAAATTTGAAACCGAATTATTAGGGTCAGCCCCCTCTTACGATCCCACTGTGCTTTCGATGCCACCGGCAAAGCTGGTGGGCGAAAACTATAGGAATGTGATGTGTGTATGTGTCAACTCCTGCCCCCAAGGAACTTGACCACAGTATCTAAAAGCCTTAATTCACGTCCCTCCCTTCTTTTCTCACTGTACAGATGAGCAGGGGGCACGGCGACCGTTCACCTAGCCGTGCTAACAATGCTGTGGTGTTCGGTTGGATGAGATACTGGACGCAGTATCTTGTACCTGCAACCATTTTTAAGCTTTGCCACTTTTCAACTGTTGAACAAGCTGTGACTCTCCTTTCCGCGTAAGGTGCTACCGCAGTAAAGGGCAAGTGCGTCTGTTCCAAACAATGCAATTGCGCTGACCCTTGCTGTTCCTGCGAGTCAAGGTCTAATGTAATCAGTAACTAGCTCACGGGAATTTCCAAACTGATATAGCTATTCCAAGCATGGATCTAAGTGTGTGCGTGATGAGTATGATTATCATGCACTGTTGGGCGGTGGTCTGATGCCGTGTGGCGTCATGCTTCGTGATGTGATGAAGTGTTGGAGCTGTTGGTCATGTGCGTCAATGGATCGGTGCCTGGATTCCAACCTCTGGCGCACACCCTGTAAGAGGCAGGGAATCGGGCAAACGATCCTCCTCCGGGAGGGTGGGAGACAATTCGGATGTAGAGGCCTGATCCAAAGTGGCACCGCACATGAGCCTTTCTCGAACAGCCACCAAGTGCAACTTGTTGTATAATCCGTGGCTACTCTTAACAAGACGTGCTCGGAAATGGATCGGAGCCTAGATTCCAAACGCTGGCTCATTTAGGATGAAGGGAAGTTCTCCCCCCGCTGTAGAGCTGCCACCAACTCCACAAGCGGGAGTGCAGCAGGCAATCCCAAAAAGAATGGGAAAACTATGAAGTAACTACCGGGTGGAAACAGGAGGCGTTCAGAAGTTCGGAGTATGCAGAAAGTGGACCATTGGCAAGTATATAGGGCCATTTGCAGATTTTGATTCACCCTGTCGATATAAAAATCGATGGAAAGCGCTGAGGTCATGGTCCAGTACACCCCAACCAGATCACTAGACTCGACCTTTGGGAAGTACCCTCGAACCTAGCAAGCCTCCTGGGGCACTTCCCAAAAGAAATGATGGGCTTGGTAAACGGGGGTGACTCCTCCGACCAACTCTGAGGCATCGAGGGGTATCGGGGGTCATTTGCAATGTGAAGAATGTGCGGCGGGGCGCAGAGGTCAAGATGAGATGCTTCATTGATCGCAAGCTCAGCGCTAGGGCAGGAGTGAGGCCGCACACGCATGCACCGTACAAAACGACCTTCCTTCCCCCGCAGGGACCCAAAGTTCCCAAGCAGACCTACTGCCGAGAGAGCGTTGGCCTGCCAATGGAGGATGATGTCGGCCAACACCACGAAGTTGGACCTATGCGGAGGCATCTGCTTGACCATCGCATTTTCCAGGTTTGGGCCAGCACCTGCTCCTCCCTCACGTACAAACGCCTCGCATGGTGTCCTCCTTACCCAGGAACGGACCATGCACCTTCAGCCTCAAGTCTCACATTCCAACGTTCCTCCCTTCCTGCAGAAGCTTTCGGAATGACATCTGAAGCCAAAGTGGCATCAGATGTAGCAACAAAGTCCACCATGTTTGCTGGCTGCTTGCCAAAGTGATCGTCCTGCGCTCAGAATGTCGTACCCCACTTGTCCTGCAGGTTCCACCCCTCGGCTGCCTTGTTCCCTGACGCAATGTGATGAGGAAAATGAACTAGAAGAGTCAGAACTGTTGTCACCTTGATCTTTAACGCCTCGGGTGGGCATTTTCTGATGGACGAAGAGGAAGCATTGGAACATAGTGGAACGCTGCTTTCGGAAGATGATGCTGCACGAGCACGCCCATCCTTCTTCGTCTGCAACCAAGCCATTGGTGCAGTGACCAAGCAGCCAGGCAACCGCTTAACAAGTGGCTGTCCGACCCCGCCTTTACTAACCGTGTATCTACTGTATTTATACATGCATATTTTATGCACCTGGACTTCTCACCAATGGCAAGAGTGAGTATTGATTGAAATAACAATGTGTTTGCAGAGGACATGATAAAGCGAAGCTCCATCTGAAGACCTCCTTGTGAAAGCGCTCGTTCGACTATCTTCGGCCTCAAGGCTTTGAGTCTCGGATGTACAAAAACGTTTTGAGTCCCTAGTAGCGGCAGCGTCCCTGTTCCTAGTAGTAAGGCCAGGAGCCCCTAGTAGCTTCTTGTTATCCTGTGTCTGGCATCAATTCAATTCCCAGCAATTCCCTCCAAATTCAAGGTTCAACAAGACGCGTGTCCGAGATTCTGAGATCCAGACGCAACACCCATTTCTACTGAAAAGCGAGCAGCTTCGGAGGTAGAAACTTCTTGGCGCTCTCTGAACCTTGAGGGAACAGGAATGCTGAGCAAGGCTGCATCGACCTCAACATCTGAGGTTGCAACTCAACCACGATCTGGCCTGACAACTGCCCACACAAAGAAACACTGGGAGACCGTCAAAATCTCATGCCCGTCTCTGCCCAAGGCCACCTTTCAAGTCACAAAACACTATTTCGAGGTGATGGATGCTGATTGCCTTCTGCGCTTAGTTGTATTGGAGGAAGCTATATTTGATTCAGTGATCTCTGACGAGTTGTCACGATCCAACAGGGTGGGTAACGGCTTGAAGTCTCAAGAAGGGGTTTAGATCGGCAGGCAAACTGTCCACGTGTTCACTGACAAGTTTTCCACCCGCTTCAGCTATGCAAACGCAATAGATATGGGTTGTTGTTGTCGCTGCAGGAAGAAAGGGAAAGGGAGTTTTACACATCAAAACTGTTACAAGTACAAGCAATCTGAGATCATGTGGCAAGTTGCAGCGAATTCAGCATGGCCTTCCGTCAGATTCAAGGAAATGATGGCCAAAGTGGAAAGATTCCGGACTTTCTTGGCCCTCCTGCAAAAAGCTCGATCTGGCATTGATAAACACTTCAACAATACAGTGTATGTTATGTTTATTTATGTGGCCTGCTTGATGTGTGTAGAAAGAACACGCCCACCCCGAGATGTCGCAATCAAGACTCGATTTGCAGGCGTGGCTTGGGATTTGATAGATGGCACTATAACCGGAAGCCACTCTGAGTAGACTATATATTTACAGTATATTTCAGTATATACACCTCTCAAAACTTGAACATCCAGTGCACTGATATGATTTCGAGCAAGTCTACTTGGTGGTGGTCATCAAGACCCTATCCTCAGAGCTTCTAAATGAACTTCAAAGTAGAATAGAACTTCAATAAGTATACTACCATCACTGGACTCATCGCGATCGAGTCGTGGACAAACATACATAATGGATGGCCTCAAAACTGACAAGGCAGCTGCAGCATCAAACTGAGAGGCTGCCTGGCAGCGTCCCTTTCTAGTTCCAGATTGAAGTCGCAGCAATTGTGACTTGAAGCGATTTTCACATCAATGCATTTGTGCAATCCTTTGACGGGTGCCAACTCCAAATTAATTCTATGCTCAAGTTCAAGAGGTATCATTCTACATGTGTTGCAAAACAGTCACGGAAACCTTATCTAGATCCCAGATTCGGCAGGTCTTAAACAGCGATACAAGTCTTCATGCGCACATCATTGCACATACAAACAGTTTACACAGTCCAGCGGGCTGTATGTCTATACATAGCGTTCTCATTGGACTCTTGGACCTCTCACACAT